TGTTGTACAAGTAGGAACAATGTCAGTGTTTTTATTTGATCAGTCTGTTAATCACCATAAGAGGTTTTTTTTTTCAATTTTTCTGAAGTTGACACAGCTGGAGTATACAGCAATCCTTTTACAGCCTCAGCCAATAACCGATTTCTAAACAAATACTACAATATGAGCATCAATTAAACATTGAAATGGTAAATTTTTTAGCCTTGGCTTTTTCCAGACACTAACAATACATGTTTGCTCTAGACCTCATAGATTAGTTTTCATCAAGGTTAGTATTGCTTAGGATACCTGTAGCTCTTATAACAGATACTTGTTACAAAATCTAGCGAGCTTTGACATTTCTCTATTTGTTCATGAACATCAGTATTGTTATATCAAATATCATGTATTGCTTTTGCACTAGTTTTGAAAACACTCATGATGTAGGCCTATAGTCGAAATTATTTGTTTTTAACATATTTTATTATTGATCTTATTGTGGTGATAAAATTTATTAACTTTTTAGAAAAAAGTTGTTGTTTGAAAGTGTCAAGAAGTAATGTATATTTTCATCGACAAAAATTCAATAGTTTTAGTACAGCAGTCTTGTGGAAATTTGTAGGGAAAAACCATTGGAATGCTATTAATTATATTTTCAAATTGTTACATGTTTTGCAGGTATGATATATTTTTGTGTACAACAGTTTAAGATGACCAAAATAACTTACTCCTAAATTATTGTACCCAAAGGTAAGATTTATTTTAGCTTTTGATATATTTCTGCCACCAATTTTAAGACTCTTTTATATTTCAGTTATAAGTATTAGAACTCAAAAATATCTTACAATTGATGTTTTTTCATATCTGCCCAGCTGCAAAAAGAGTTTTATCTGTAAACAAAGCAACCTACGTTCCAATGTTTTTTATAATTTTTCTGCTAATCCCAAAGAATAGCAATTTTTACATAAAACCTATCAATATATTATCCATTTCTTGATTTTCAAGTGTTTCCTTTAGTTTTTGTACAGTCCTTGGTTGACACATTTCTATGGTACCACATAGGATAGTTTAATAATATACTATTAAAATAAAGCTTTGAAAACAACTATAAAGAAGTTTAAATTTGATTGGATAGAATCAGACTATCACATATTAATAGAGTATATATATATATATATATAGTTTTTTATATTTCTATAAACATTACTTTCCTTGTGAATTTTGAAACTATTTGTGTGTTAAATTATATCTGTTTGAAAGCTACAGAAACTGTCCTCAGTGTGAGGAATCAGATAACTGGAGATAAAGTAGATACGCTCATACAGTTTAGAGACATGTTGTGCAGGTAACAAAGAAAACACTGTTAAAAGTTTAACACGGTAACAAATGTATAGAGAAAATGTTGTCATCATCAGGTACAAGTCATTTATTTAGTTAAAGGAATATATAAACAGTAAGAAGTCACATAAAATGGAGATTGTTTAAGGCTTAATAAAGGTATTTTGTTGATACTTGATTCTTTGTTTAAATACTTTTCAATTTTTTTAACAGACATACTATGGTTTTATTGAGTTGAAATATTTGAAAACTTTTTTTTAATTATGTTCACAAAATAAAATAAAACTGTCATCAAATCAGATATGTTTACTGTTTATTAGGCAACTGCAAAATATTGTGTTGACTCAAATCTTTATTGAATATTGTTTTCTTGTTTATCCTATTCAAAAACATAAATAAATAGTCTAATTTGGCTACTTTGTAATTGTAACCACAGTATGTCTGAAATAAAAACATTATTACCTTTATCGCGAGAGTAAAACATATCATACTGGCTCGATTTTAGGGCGATCTCGAATATAAGGTAACCCTAATTTTCAGAAACCATGGGAGAAAAAGAAAATTGAGTGTCATAATGTCCTTTTTTAGGCCTGCGAAACACCCTTTTGTAGAATGTTCATTAAGGAATTCAGTCTTTTGTTTCCACCAATGCCTCATATTATTTTCAGTTACACCAAATTTTCTATCAGTGGTACAACTGTTTTGTTTTTTCTGCCTCATGCATCATAATCCTTTGTTAATTTGACATTTTCTTGTTCCCTGTCTTTCAATGTGGTCGCTCATTCTTGCACAAGGATCAATCACTAAAATCACTTGCAGACAACAATTATTATAAAATTTATAATGAGCACAGTCAAAGCAATAATGCACCAGAAAAATCAATACTGTAACAAAACAGGCTGCAGGTGGATTAGTTACAAGAAATAGCAGTGACCTTGAGCAAACATCTGGCACTCATGCATGGACAGATGCTATCTGGACATTCAGGAATGTGACAGGCTAGAGTATGGGGAGAGGCCTGTCATCGGCCACGATTATAAGGCGACTATGAATTTTACAGCATAATTATTAATCAAGAAACTTTGCCTTATAATCAGGCCAATATGGTATTTCATTATTTAATTATCAATACATATGATTTATAAAAGATCAGTGTGGGATTACAGCATATATGAAAAATAAACAATGTTAATCACGTGATGGTATTTAGTCGACACTAGCAATTTATCAGCCAAGTAGAAAATGTTCACGAGTCATTTGAGAAAAGTTGAGACAGTAGCACATACAAGTTTTTTTTTTCCCAATTTGCTTGTATGGATTATAGGAAGCATTGTGTAATAACTGATTAATCAAATGTAATCTATTAATGAGCTCGTTGGTTAATCATTGAGTAAATGATACTAATTGCCCAGCTTTATTACGAAGATAGTAATGTTATGATAAGAAAATCAACAAAGAATTTGGGGTAAGACAATAGTAGCATTAAGATAAGATAATCAGTAAAGTATTGGGAGTAAGAGAATAGTAGCATTATGATAAGATAACAAATAAAGAATTAGGGTTAAGAGAATAGTAACATTATGATAAGGTAATCAATGAAGAATAGGAGTAAGATGTTAGTAACGTTATGATAAATTATCAAAGTTTTGTTCATGTTTCTTTACCAATTTTATTGAAAGAAAATATTTTTGAAATACAACTAATTTTTCAAACTTTGCAGTTCATTACATATCTGAGTAAAAAAAATTAAAGATATTGTCCTGACTCTTTATGGCACATTTCAGCATGCAGTGGAAAGTAAATAATACAAAAACTATCACTTACCTCATAAGAGAACACATTTCCTGTTGGCTTGATGGCTACAATGTGACTGTTTTGGTTGAATACCTTGTACAAAACTGGACAGTGATACTTCCCTTCAGAATTTTTATGGAAATTGAGTTTCACTAGAGACTTAATATCCAAAGGCTACATAAGAAAATCAAATTCAAAGTTAAGTTAAAGGGTTTTCTACTGGTCTGCTAAGGGACTAAATTTGGCCCCCTTTTAATGTTTAAAGACTCTGTAATATTCTAAAGTCCAAGCAATTTGTTCTCAAGCCTTAAATTGTTAAAACACATTCAAATATCAGATATGTGATTCAAATATATATTATATAAATGTAATTATCCTTATTTCATCAATATATATATATATATATATATTTCATATATGTGTATATAGTATATGATATGCTTCACTGTGAAGTACCAGAGTACCCTGAATCCAGGATAAAACCATGACCCACATTGCAGTGATAATTAGGATCAATCATAACTAAAAACACAAAGAAACACTTCATGTCAAATACGAAGAAATAAGTTAATATTTACAAATAGTCAATGTTTATATCAGTTCTCATTGGCTCAGCTAAGTCAGTAACCTCAGGAATCATTCAGGTACAGGTTAACCCTACATGCACGGGGTTAGTCCATATTGGAAAATACTACTATAATTCTAAATTTAGTATGTCTATCTTCATGAAATTTGGCAAACTTTTAGTAAACATAAAAAGTCTGTCATATACATAAAAATCCGAATTTTTAATAAAGCATTTTTACTAAAGATTTGTCTGTGAAATCACTGAGTCAGTCTGACTCAGACTCTGACTAATCTTAGAACAAGATGATTTTCATCTCATAAAAAATTATTTTTAAGTCTTACTGTTTTCATATTTCTTTGCATGACCTCTAGAACCACCTAATTTAATAACAAGTATTTTTGGAGAGTAAAACTTTATATTTCATCTATTACTTTGTTTACCAAACATTAACTGTAGCAAAATCGTCAATCACAATCAACTTACAGTGAAATGAAAAGTTGAAAAATCTGAAATAAAATGAACAATACGCTTCTTCTTATTTGATGCATAATTTCCATTGTTTTATGTAGTTCTTATCTTTAAAGTTTAAACTGTTAATCTTTTCACATCTACTTTCTGTAAATTTATGTTTTCATTGCTATAGTTAATAACTACTTGAGCACTAAAAAACAATAAACACAGATGTTTATGGGTTATAAATACCACTAGCAAAGTATATGACCGTTGTGAGTACAAACCATAATTAAAATAGGCCTCACTTTTAGCACTAAATTGCCATTTCAAATAAAAATTACTGGAGTTTTCAAATATACATTTTTGAACATATATATAAGACAATAAAATATCCTGAAACAACTACAATTTAACTTGCTTTCTAACTACACAATAAATAGGTTAAAAAATTGACTCTCCTGCTTACGGCATAAAAACACTATCACCAAAAATAAAACTGAGCCAAATATCCAATTATAAGCAACTACACGAACTAGTCTTCTAATGAAACTTGTAATGAACAATCTGCTCTTTCTATTGGTTAAAAATAATCCAATAGTAGATGTTACAGAATTACTGACATCTTTTTAAAAGACACAATGAGATAACAGAGGCATGGAATGTGGTTTTGACTTTCATACCTATATACATAAGAGGCTATGTCCATCTGTCTACAAAACTCCTCCCACAGTTTAAGTCCGATTTGAATGAAACTTCGCAAGAATTTTCAACATCATAAGGGGAAGTTACTAACAAAGTTTCATTACAATAAGGTCTCTCATAAAAAAGTTTATTTAGTGCATGTGTCCACTTTTTTTACAAAATGAGTCAATAACAGCTTTATATTGCACCAAAATGAAAAATGTTATAAAACAGACCCTCACTAAAATTACAATATTAAAAGGACCTTATTTCATAACATTTTTTCCTAAATCCCTTCCTTAACGGAGAAATGGTACTTCTTTCCTATTTAATAATGTACATTAATTTTGTACATTTATTATTATCAACGAAATTAATTTTTTAATAAAACTGCTAATTGTGGTGAAGTGAGTTTAATGCAGAATTTCAAAGTGAAGAATCATTGTGATATTTCAGAAGAAAAGTGATTTTTTCTGCTGGATAATCCAAGCATGCGTGTGCTATGAATTGAATTGTTCTGTGACCGATAGAATTGAAAGTCCTTCGTACAGAGTTTGTTGCAAACAAATTTGCAGGAATTTTGTACTAATTCGATCTTCGTAAGTTACACAAGTAGATTTTTACTTTAGTATAAGTATAAAGTGATAAAAAAAATCGAAACTGCCAAACGGAAAAGTGACTTATCACAGAGAAAGTATGAAACTTTGAGAAAGAAAATGAAACATTCTAAACATTTTCAAATAATTCCTTTTGAAATTAAAATAAAACTTATATAATATAAGATTTAGAATTATATGCTATGTCAGACTTATTTACATACATTGATAATAATGTTGTTTAATTCCAGTTTGAATGTAACTCTATAAAAGGATCTTAAAATGCATTCTTTTACTCTCTCATACATACACATAGGGTTAGATATCTACCCTTGTTTTAGGCTGTCTAGTTTGTTCAAGTAATTCAATCTGCCCTGAAATAATATTTACATGTAGAAATAAAATCCATATTACAATTAGTTAATGATAGTATTATCAACTGATCAGCCAATCAACCCTCAGAAATAATATATCTCAAATGTCAGACAAGGCTGTTAGTTTAAAAACTGTTATAATTTATATATAAACTTGTACTTTATTACTACGATATAAAATGACGTTTTCTAAATGATAATGTATGTTTACGTCTATTTTGCTGGACTTTACTGGATTAATATATCTCTTAAGATCAAGTTAGGGTAAGCTGCACCTTTCAAATAAAGCCTAATTGAATGAAATTAAATTAAATGTTTAACAATTAATAGCAGTAAATGTTAGCTAAATTAGTTTTTTTAAGTTTTAGGCTTACATGAATTTTGTAAGTGGAATAATTAATAAATGCCCTAAATGACTAGGGTATGAGGTGACATAGTAGGTTTAATGGCCCCACCTAAACCTGATATTGGTGAGATCGGTTAGAGCAAATCATACATTAGTAGACATGTAGAACACATTTGCACTATGTTAAAGTTATTTCAATAGTTGACTTTTAGTCCATGATATCTTACTCTTGTTCTAGATTGACCTTTATGTCATTAAGAACCTTTGGATAACTTTTTCAGAAACGTTTTTGTTTGTTTATGATTCATACTTTAAAAAGGTTAGTCCAGTCAATTGAAATATTATTTTTCAACCAAATTTTATCATGGTTCCCTCTGGTAAGACATATAGATATTAATACTATATTTCCTGGAAATAAAATGTAGTAAGCTGCCATGACATAAACAGAAACCAAAACCTAACTCTAAAAACACTATGACAGATACTAAATTAACACATTTTTTTATACAAACTAACACAAGCTTTAATCTATATATTGTGTTATCTAATAGTAAGGATAAATATAAACAGAAGTGTATTTAATTATAACTTATTTCAATAAAGCACAATACTTTCAAGAAGAAAAAAAATGATTTAGAACTTACTAAACCAATCAAACCAACAAATGTGAAACTCACTTTTCCTGTTGCAGGATCAACTTCAAACTTCTTTAGAAAAGGAACAATGTTCCTAAAAGACAAAATAATAACCATATAAGTAACCTCATTCTGTTTCAGATAAAAATGAAAACAAAAAACACAAGAACAAAATCATCATCACTTGAAGTTTTATGAGCTAAATTAATATCAAAAATGACTAAATACAAAATCAATAATTAAAATACTATTTGATATGGCTTCCTTAAGCAAACAAAAAATCTTGTGTATGGTATCTATAAATATAAAGATGTTTGTTATTAAGCACAAAGCTACACAATGAGCTATCTGTGCTCTGCCCACCATGGTTATTGCAACCATTATTAAGCACAAAGCTACACAATGAGCTATCTGTCTGGGCCCACCATGGTTATTGAAACTACGTTTTAGTGTTACAAGCCTTCAGACTAACTGCTGAAAGAAGTTTGTTATTAAGCACAAAGCTACACAATGAGCTATCTATGCTCTGCCCACCATGATTATTGAAACCATTATTAAGCACAAAGCTACACAATGAGCTATCTGTCTGGGCCCACCATGGTTATTGAAACCACGTTTTAGTGTTACAAGCCTTCAGACTAACTGCTGAGACACTGGAGGGGGCATATAGATAAAAATGTAATTATAATCTATGGTTTCACTCAAAATTGGATTTTTGTTATAATAATTGTACAAATTCAGTAAAATTATGCTGTGTTCCAAACAGATACATATTCCAATTTCATTACAAGTGCAATATCAGACTGACATTATTAATCTCATGTTCCAAAATAACATTAATGTACAGAATTTGAAATAAGAAAGAAAATAGTGAATAAAATGGGTAGAAATGCAAATATTAAGATTACTCCCACCTGCCACTCTATTGTATGAACTGCACCAGAGTACAGTCATGTGTTAGTAGTTTACAATACGTCACACCAGTCCATAAAGTCATTCCATTCTCAACAATAGTGTGGTGCAAGAGCAGATATGCCACATGAAAGACACACATAAATCAAAGCTCGAGCTCCCGAAGACCACTCAATGTCAAACATTCATGTTTCAGTAGGAGATGTATAGAAACTCAGAGAGAGTACATTGATAATAAAAACAGTCAAAGAAGAAAGCCCAAACTCTTCAAAAATTAGGTTAAGTAACTATGGAAATGCTCCTTACTTGATACACAACAATCCAGAGAAGATCTTGTTAATTACTTGGCTATAAGTATGAGTGTGAATGTTACCTCTGAATGGTAAATACAGATTAGCACTAAGTGGCCTTAATGAATGTGTAGCTGCTTAAAAATCACTACTTAGAAGACAGAAACAAACCAAATGGTTGAAATGGGTACCAGACAACAAACAGAAAGATTAGCAAAGCTAGAGAAAGGTGATCTTTACATATAAATCCAAATTCAGATTATTTGTCAACAATCAACAACAGTTTGTTATATTGGAGAAAGGAGAATGGTATCACAGTAGTCAATGCACAACATCTACAATGCTGGAGGACCAATACAATTACACCCTAACTGGTGACCAATAAAAGCAGCTTCTTATTCATCACGTCTATCCCTCATGAACAAAGATTCATTTTCCGGATAAAGAGTGATCTCCAGCATGCAGCAAATGTGGTGAAACAATATCTAAACGAATGGAATACTCACAACCATGTCTTGGTCTAAACAAAGTTATTATGTTGTGCTAGAGAAGGTGAGAGGGTCAAACAGCAACTAAACAACTTGGCTTAATTGTGGAGTATCATAAACTGATAAACTTGTGATATTAGTACTGTTATTAGTACTGATATTAGTACTATAAACTATTAGTACTGTTCTGTTTAAAGCAAAATATAAAATACTAGTATATTGTCTAACTTATTTGCCTTTCTTCTGTCTTTTTTAAAATAATGGATCATGTCAATAATAAATTGACTATTTAGTTGCAATCACTCATTGTTTGTGACTCCTGTATGTGTAATGCCTGTGTATTTCTATATTACCAATACTGCATGTCCACAATATGAAGGCTGGTTTATGGTAAAAAAATTCTTACAAAAGTAATGCAGAAATACACACAACCCCCCCCCCCCACCATAACTTAGAGTAAGGGTAAATAAAATACAATATCTGAAAGTGTGATTATGGATTTACTAAAAACAAGACAAACCCAATACATTACTTCTGTCCATCACATCTAAGGAGTACATCAGAGCATCTTATGATTCATATCGATGCATAAAACAGAAAATGTACACAGAGTGAAAATGTATTCTCTAGTAAGAATGTACACAGACTGAAGATGTATTCTTTAGTAAGAATGTACACAGACTGAAGATGTATTCTTTAGTAAGAATGAATACAGACTGAAGATGTATTCTTTAGTAAGAATGTACACAGACTGAAGATGTATTCTTTAGTAAGAATGTACACAGACTGAAGATGTATTCTTTAGTAAGAATGTACACACAGTGATGATGTATTCTTTAGTAAGAATGTACACAGACTGAAGATGTATTCTTTAGTTAGAATGTACACAGACTGAAGATGTATTCTTT